AGGGTCACGGCATTAGGACGATTGAGAACCACTGCTGTAGGGCAAGGTAGAACTGCCGCTGTTAGTTTCTGAGACTAAGTTTTCAATGGTCAGTGGCTGGTGATTTGGAATTGCTAACCTTGTGATTAGCAGCCTAGCTCGTGTTGGTGATGACGATGTGATTAGGACATATGCACCAATAAGAGAGCATTTGACCTGGAAAAAGATGGTTGACATGCACTTCCCAGTCATTTAGTGATGGGGAAATCTTCTGAATAGAAATGACTTAGACGCATGACATCAGATGATCTTGTGGGCGGAAAAAAGATCATGTTTAAGGAAAATTAGACATGAAATTTTCAGGAAATGTTGGCTTTGGTTATAAATAGAACTTTGAATGGTGGCAAGAATCATTGTAGTCAATTATGTTTACCAACACTGCTGATGCATGAAATTAGAGGATAACTTTACCTTTTGGGAAAGAATCTGTTTCTTTTAACTTATTTAGCTCTGACTTTCCCATTTCAAAATTAGTATGGTGACAAGAATAGATGGAAGTAGAGATTTGTTACACTCACTGTTGACCGTTAAAATTTCGGTTGGCATTGGAAAGTAGTAATCATTTCAGAAATGAGTATCCTGTTACTTTGGATAATGAGGGAAACATGACATAAAATTGGGATCTTTTCCATAACGTTTGAAGTTGGAGGTATCCTAGGGTTGTAAAAAATGGATAAAGGTTCGTCTTCCCAAGGTTAATGCATGAAATTTTAAGTGCTAGCCGATGTTACCAAGTTGGTACTGATTAAATAATTCAGAACCAAATGCATGTACACACACACAACCTCAGTGAAACTGTGAATCAAGAAAAGAAACCGCACAGCCTTCCACTCAGACTCAAATTCACTGCCAACTCACAGCAACCTTATGCAACAGAGTCAGACTCAGGTGTAGTCCTGACACTGTGACTTTCAAGGGAAGGAACGGCTCATCTTGCTCCCAAGGAGGGCCTGCTGGTTTTGAACTGCTGGCATTGCAATTAGCCGCCCAATGTGAGCCCACTATGCTGCCAGGGATGGGGGAAAACATGAATGAAGATGAGATTACACTCCCACTATGCCACCAGGGCTGGGGGAAAACATGAATGAAGATGAGATTACACTCCCACTATGCCGCCAGGGCTGGGGGAAAACATGAATGAAGATGAGATTACACTCCCACTATGCCACCAGGGCTGGGGGAAAACATGAATGAAGATGAGATTACATTCCCACTATGCCGCCAGGGCTGGGGGAAAACATGAATGAAGATGAGGTTGCACTGCGGATGAGAGGTAATCTGACATTATTGTGTGATCTCGAGCAGTTGATTTTACCATTTCTCAAATTCCTTATCTCCACAGTGAGAATAACAACATCTTATTGGTGTTATCTTGAGCATTTAATGAGATAGAAATATGTTTCACATGTGTAGTCTATCGTACGTATTTCAGGAGACAATTGTAAAGATTAAATGAGTCAGGGCATGTAAGGCACTTAGCACAATGTCTGGCATCTTATTAGTGTTCAATTAGTGTTAACTTTTAATTTCATAATTTTAATCATTTCATTGATTTGTTGGCTGGGTAGTTATAGTGATTTTCATTACTAATTCAAATATAAAACTGATGGGCTTATCATTTTAAAGTTCTCAGGGGTTTTCCTCTGTTCTACTTATAATTTATGCGATACACAGAACTGGTTACAAAGGAAATAAGGACAGAGAGTTAGAAAGTTCTGCACCACGGAAATAATCAGAAAAAAACCTCAAGGAGCAAGATTTGATGAGAGAAATCTGATACATGATTTTCATAAATGGATGAGATAAGTGAGTACCTATTACTAGTAATCGTTGCTTGAATTTGTGTTTGGAAATTGAATTGCACCACTAATTGAGGAAAAATATTCTACTTCATTAAGGATTATTAATGCATGATTTTATTTTTAAGTATTTTACTGTAATAATCTTGTGGCAGCTAATGATCTTCATATGCATATTTTTAATGAGAAGAACTCTTAGGTTGTTTTTTAAGGACAAGATAAAGCCCCAGTAAATTTCTCAACATAGCTAATTTGACATATTTTCATTTTGAACTGTCAGACTTGTTGAGAAATGAGTATATTTCAACTTTAGAAAATGACCTTGTGTTTAGACTATGAAAACATGGTCAGAGAAGTTTTTCTTCACATACCGAACATTCCATCTCTAATGCAAAAGAAATTGCATTTGGTGATGACACTGAATGAAACCACACAGGCAAACTTAGCAGTGAGGAAACTGGGTTGTAAGGGATGCAGGGAATGACATTCCTCAGCTCCTCTGGCTCCAAGATTCTCCAGTCCATGTTGGTGCATCCTGGTGAGCTCTCACCCCACAGTGCCACCATGGAGACAACACGAAGGACCTCATTCAGCAGCAATTTACTGTGATGTGGTGAAGAGATGTAACATGGCTACTAGAATATCAGATTTTATCTAATCATAGCTATCACTTCTGTGTATCATCAATATGTCTGTTTTCATATCTAATCTATCATCTACTATATACTCTTATCGAATTATTTACTCTGAAACAACCTGTGGACTCAAGTAAAAAAAAAAAAAACCTAGAAATTTAGAAAGCACATATTTTAGTATGATAATCTTTATTTTCCTTTCCTTCTTATATTGTTTCCCTGATCAAA